TTACGGTTTAAGGTTAGGGTTTAGGGGTTTACTTGGCAGATGAGTGGCTCAGTGGGTACACTCCACACATTTTGGGATAATATTCTTCCTTATAAAACTGAAAAGTTGCATTTCTTGGGGCTGATGAACTCAGCATCCAAGTTTAGGGTTCAGGGTCTAGTGGGTTTAGTGATTCATGACTAGTTTTTTGGGTTTTGCTTTTTGTGGTTGGGCTGGATGTGGTTTGGGGGTTCCAGGTTCAAGGCTTTATGGTTTCGGGGCCTAGGGTTTAAAGGTTTCCGGTTCAGGGTTTGGGGCGAAGAGTTGGACTTAAGACTTTTCTTTACACTTTTCCTTGGCGATGGGTTTGTGGATTAGGGCCCTAAACCCTAAACCCTAAACCCCAAGCCCTAAACCCTAAACCCTAAACCCTAAACCCTAAACCCTAAATCCTAAACCCTGAACCCTGAACCCTGAACCCTAAGCCGGAGGCCCGAACACCACTATTCCTGGAGCCTGAGAGCCCTAAGCCCCTTAAGCCCGAACAAAACCTGCAACCGTCAACCCTGGACCCAAAGCCCTAAACCCTAAAGCCGATCTAGCCGCCCATGAGGGCTTCGGAGTCATGAGGGCTTCAGGATGCTTCTACAGTGGGTTGAAGGTTTAAGGAGTGTGTAGGGGTTTAGGAGTTTAGGGGGTTGGGGGTTGGGTTTAGGGATTTGGGAGTATAGGGTTTAGGGCCTGAAGTAAACGGTATAGGCAGTGCTTGAACGTTCGGAGTCACGCCTGTGGACTTTTTCATTCGTACAAATACCCTTATAGGTTCCGTCACCCTAAACTCTTAAGGAGCCCTCGAAGGAACCTATTCTAGGCCCTAAGCCCTAAACCCTAAACCCTAAACCCTAAACCCTAAACCCTAAACCCTAAACCCTGAACCCTAAACCCTATTCTAAGCCCTAAACCCCAAACCCCAAACCCCAAAGCCCGAAGTAACGAGACTCCGAGCGGCCAGGATGCCAAGGTGGATCAGGTCACAAAGCAGGGCAAGTCCCGGGGCTGCTTTAAGGGTTCCTTTCAGGGTTCCTTTTAAGGGGCTCCTTTTAATTAAGGATTTTTGGGTTTAGGGTTCAAGTGTTTAGGGGCTGCTTTAAGGGTTTTCTGGGTCTAGCGCTGAGGGTGCTTGGGGTTAGGGTTGGGCCTCTGGTGTTGGAAGGCTTTTTATTCCTCCCGATTACGGTTTTGGTTTTGTTGGTTACCGGTGTTTTGGGTTTGGGTTTGGGGTTTAGGGTTTAGGGTTTGGGTGCCTTGGATGTGGGGGCTTCAGGTCAGGGTGTTGTGGATTTTGGGAGTTTGGGGCTGAGGGTTGGTGCCTGCGGGAAGTAATATTAGCATCCTGGCTCCTATTTGGATGCGCAAACGCCTATACAGCAGTGTGCGGTTCAGTAACAAAGTTTGGTGAGGGTTTAGGTTGAATTGGTTTCCCCGGCCCCTAACTCTGAACACTATACCACCTAGTGATGTCGGGTTTGGGATCTGAAAACACCTGCGGACTTCTATGGTCCCTCAACCCTAAACCCTAAACCCTAAACCCTAAACCCTAAACCCTAAACCCTAAACCCTAAACCCTAAACCTAGGGCTAAGAGATCTAGGAACCCAAAGGGCCTATGACTACCACAAGCGCCTGAAGGTTGACTGAGTTTATAGAGTTTGTACGCCTTGGAGCCGGGCTCTTTTGAAGGACTTTAATACAAGTTACCACAGTCTGAATAGGGATCTATAGTGAATAATGTGGTTTCCTTATTGTAGTAACTTCATTAAACCCCTTACCCAAAATCCCAGGAAGGCATCTATCGAAGTCCGAATAAGGAGAATTTCGGGGCTTTGCTCTCGGATTGCAGGCGACGGTAGCGGTCGGAGCAATTAGTAGAACTATCCGCTCATAGTCCCTACATAATTTGGCACTACCAGACCATGTGCACCAAAGCCGTATTCGAATCAGTCAGGCCCTTACACTTGGCAAGTGTTTTGAAGGTTCGTGGAGACATGTGCCCTTCGGCCCGAAAGCAACGACTCGAGGGCACTTTTCTAAACAAGCTTACGCCCAATAAAAACTTGGATAGTAGAAGCCGGGAAAAAGATGCGAAGATACCATCTCACACTGCGGCCTAGTGCCGCAGAACCTTTGCTGTTTCCAACTCCTGTCAAGCTTTCCGACAACCTACATGGACTAAGAGGCGCATACACCCTAACCCTAAACCCTAAACCCTAAACCCCAAACCCTAAACCCTAAACCCTAAACCCTAACCCGAACCCCCATAACCTGAACGCCAAAAGCAGATGTCAGAGCCCATAAGGACGGCCCTCCTCCTGGCCGCGCAGTTCGGGCGTCAGGAGCCGGGTCATAGGCTGACGGGTCGATGTTGCGTGTGCGTTTTGTTTGGGCTGTTTTTCGTCAACTTCTCGCCGATAGGCGTCCTGCGGGGAATCTGATGGGCTTCACAGACTGAACATGGAGGGCCCGAGACCCTAAACCCTAAACCCCTAAACCCTAAATCGTCGAGTGCCGACGATGGAGTGTCATGCTTTTAGTTTTAAAACCCTAAACTCGGCTCCATCCCCCTTTACCGCCCCACTGTACTTGGTAAAAAGGATCTGTCTAAGTCTGCATCCCGAACCGTAAACCCGAATCCCTGAAGCTTTGCAGCTGAGAGTCAACAGGTCCTTGCTGTTTAGGGTTTAGGGTCTTGGTTTGGGGTTTGGGGTTTAGGGTTTAGAGTTTCGGGTTCAGGGTCTTGGTTTGGGGAGTAGGGCTTGGTGTCTAGTGTTTAAGGTTAGGGATTGGGGCGATGACCCTTGCAGCAGCCTCAACAATCTGCACTTCCGAAGACCCTGCTACACGACGCCCAAACCCCTGCAACCGGAGAGCCCTACACCTTGCTGCTGAACTAGGTCCTAAATAATTACCCATATGGCTCTGAGGGTTCCTGATTACAGTTATAGTACAACATACCCCAAAACCCTATTCTAATTTTGGCACCCAAAGTTAAGGGCTGCAGGATCCGTCTTGTTTGCTTCAAGGGGGAACCCTGAAAACCCTTACACCCCAAAGCCCTCAGTCCAAACCCTCAAACCCAAAACCCCAAAGCCCTAGATCCAAAACCTCAAACCCCAAAGCCCTAAACCCCAAAGCCCTTAAGCCCTCAACCTCAAGCCCTAAACCCCACAGCCTCAAATCCCAAACCCTAAACCCCTAAACCCCTAAACCCCTAAACCCTAAACCCCAAAAGCCTTCAACCCAAAACCCCAAGACCCCTAAACCCCAAAAGCCTTCAACCCAAAACCCCAAGACCCCTAAACCCCAAAACCCTCAACCGTAAAGCCCTAAAGCAAAATCCTCAAACCCCAAACCCCAAAGCCTTCAAACCCAAAACCTCAAACACCCAAAACCCCCAAAACCCCTAAAGCCTAAACCCTAAACTAAAAACCTCAAACCCCAACCCCAACGCCTTCAAACCCAAAACCTCAAAAACCCTAAACCCCCAAAACCCCTAAAGCCTAAACCCTAAACTAAAAACCTCAAACCCCAACCCCAAAGCCTTCAAACCC